ATACAGATCTATGTTCCTATTAAACGGGCAGGAAAAACTTAACTCGAGCACCTTAAGGCGTGCCTAGACGAAATAAAGAAGTGGATGTCTGCAAACTTCCTAATTAAATGAAAATAAAACCCAACTTATACACTTTGGTGCTTCTAAAAGTAATTTTAACCACCCCCTGAAGCATATACACTCTCTTTGCCCATTAATACCTGCGTAAAAAATCTTGGTGTTTCATTAGATAATTCCTTGAAACTGGATAAGCAAGTCAATCCGGTTGTCAGATTGTGTTTTTTGCATTTATGAATGCTGACTAAAGTTAAGGCTTTTCTATGTCCCCAAGCTTTTGACAGTGGCCTCATAGACAGTCAAATCTCTTGCTGGCGTACATCAAAATGTGATTTTGAAATGACTCTAGATCAGCATCTAGATCAGTCCTGTTGGTACATATAAAATACAAACATAGATTATCTATTGACCTTTAACAATAAATTTAAATAAATGACTGTGAACAAGATAAAGTTCATAATAGACAAACTTATTGCAAAATGATACACAAGTACATAATTACCTGAATCTAATATACTTATCAATTCCTTTAAGCCATCTGGACAAGGCCTCATGTGCAACAGAGCCCGGTTTCATCCAATCCTTACTGTCCCAGACAGCAAACTGACATTGAATCAACGTGGAAACGACGTCTCTCATGACATTGAAACAACGTTGATTTTGCTCATCGAATTAACGTTGAACCAACGTCAGACGCGGCATTCTTCAAAGCTAAATGAAAGTCGAAAATTGGTTTGCTTTCATAACGTTGAAACAACGCGTTGATTTCAAGTTGATTTTCTGTTAGTTTTGAAAGAATGACGCATCTGACGTTGGTTCAACGTTAATTCGATGAGCAAAACAATGTCAGATCAACGTTGTTTCAATGTCATATTTCCACGTTGATTCAATGTCAGTCTGCTATCTGGGGTGGCAAGCATCGACACTGCCATATTGACATTGTCCCAATGCCCATTGTATGCTTGTTAATCACATGATAAAGCACACCACCAGTCCAAAGACCCTAAACAAATATAAAAAATACTGTCATTAATACTAAATAATACTAATACTTTTATGAAGAGGGAAAACATTAAAGGGCACCTATTATGGAAAATTCACTTTTACATGGTGTTTGAACATAACTGTGTGTTGGCAGTGTGTGAGCAAAACCACCCTAGAATGATAAAAATCCACCCAGTGGTTTTTTTTACAATCTCAATAAATCATGTGCACTGTCTGAGAACGAGCTGTTCTAGATCCAGCTCTTTGTGACGTAGAATTGAGCAAGGGGTTTGATTGACAGTGTGGTTGTGGCCTAGACCCCGCCCTCGGTGATCTGTACACATCATCCTCCATTGTTTGAACAACAGCCGGTAATGTCTCTTGGAAACGTAAACGTTCTGTTGTGGGTTAATTCTGTTGTTGTGGCTGAAAGGGTACATATCATGCTTTTAAATCATTCATTTTTACATATAAATCATACCGTTGTGGTCTATATAAAACAAAACTGCAATGCTTGGGTCTGAATTCCTCATTATTATATGTGCGTCTGTGAGCGACCCGTTTCAAAGCGGCCCCTTTAAATAAAAAGGAGATGCGTCACACCCCGCCCGCTCTCCAGGTCGATGAGTCGATGAGAACTCCCCGCATTCGGCCATTATTGTAGTTTGATTAGAGATACGATACGAGATAGTTTGATTATTATATACGATACCTTCAAAGAACATTTTTATTCACACGTTAATAAAATGTCAACAAGAGAAGACTTGTCCATCAAGCCTTACATATTCGAGCCAGAGCGAGCGAGTTGACGAACCTGCAGAACAACCTCCTCATGTATTGGTATGTGAGTTAACTGTTTTGTGTTATTAATGAAAGTCGACTATTTCTCTTGTTAAAACAAGCACACTGACAAGATAAATGACTACGGTCTAATCTTACCACAAACAATCTGTATTGATAATATGATGCGTTTAGAAAAGCATCAGAAAACAACGCAGCTAAATGAGCATTGATGAAACTCAAGAACAATAATACTGCAGATGTGTAACGTTACTTCAAAACAAAAACAAAGAAAGACAAAGGTACTGCTAAACCATGACCACCATGTGTTTTAAGAAAGTAAAGTACTTTATTTTTATTAACGATATTTACAGCTTATGGAAATGCTCTGTTCGTCGTCTCCAAAGACAGAAGGAATTGACCTCTCATTCAGACGAAGTCGATCGGTATAACGTTCTGTATAACGTTACTGGCGGAGGTTGTTGAAGTGGGAATCCTCGAAGTGCTTCAGTCACTAACGTACATCCAACAACCGAACATTTTGACTTGCCCTCTCGTAACTTCTGCATCATTGAGCTCGGACTACAATATCGGAGCGAGAAATAATAATGGCGGATTGCTCGAAGTGTTGGGCCGGTAGTAAATGTCCTTATTTGGAAGTTCCGCTGCAAATACGGTGACGTTATAGTTAAAAAAAACGTCATAGAAAACAGAAAAATCTGAACAGGTTGAAAAATAAGACCAAAACAGAATATAAAGATATAAACAAAGCACCTGAAGAGAATAGTTTCATCTTTCCTGTACTTATAAACACTCCAAATATACAACAAAATGCATTTGAGGGCTAAAAAGTGGATTTTGCATGATATGTCCCCTTTAAAAGTTAATCCTCAAGTGTGGATCATCATCTACTGTTTGCGATCCACCGTCACCTCCAGTAACAGTAAGTGTATTTTATGATTTTTGAGCAAATACTCTTTTCAGTCAATGTCAGCCAATTCAACAACAAATGCGTATAAGTTGTTGTCGTCCTAGGATGTCTGTGTAGGCTATATAATTTGAACCTTGTTTGTATAGTGTGTAACCACACGTGTATAAATATATATATATATAATTAAAGATATTGTATTAAAAACTGCATATATGTTGTTGTTCTGTAAGTTAGCCATCTTCTCACATTTTCCACAGAAGCACCCGTATGACAAGTAAACATGACGCCACAGGTCCCTCGCCTAAATTTCGCTTGTACTCTCCCAGTACCGACTGCCATAGGTATCAAGTGACGCCCTCATCCAAAAGCAGGGCGGGGATATGCAGCTCATTTGCATTTAAGGTGGTATAGTCCCCGAAACAACTCATTTTTAAGCAGGCCCCAAAAGGACATTTTCAAATGGTTATAATAAATTAACTTTGGGGTATTTTGAGCTGAAACTTCACAAATACATTCTGGGGACACCCGAGACCAATATTACATCTTGTAAAAAGGGGCATAATAGGTGCCCTTTAACATATGTCCTACCATGGACTGTTCTCTATTATCTGCTGCCTTGGTTTACAATGTCTTTTATCCAGATTAAAATGATGTGCCGGCCAGCTATCATCCCAGCCTACATTAGAAAAAAAACAGCACTTTAGTAACCCGTTTTGAGAACAACAATGTGACTAAAGAATATGCACAGCACTGCAACACATACAGCATGTAGTCTTTGTGAAAGGTTCTGCCCTCTACATATGCCCGGATTAACATGCCCCCCCCCCCCAATTTTATATCCAGTTGCACATGTGCGACCAGTAAATTTGCCACACGTTAAACGCATGGTTAAGCGTGGAAGAGGCGCGTCAATGAATCCGTGACAAGAATAGCGCACGTAGACGTCTGTGGGAAGGAGACGGAGACAAATATCACAACCTGCTGTGCGTCTGAGCAATCAGCGATCTATCGACTCGTTAGTCGTCACTTAGCAGCGAATGCAAACAAAATGAACGTAGAACAAAAATACGCCACTCATAGGCCTATGATTAGGACCGTGGAGCAGCAGCAGCGATCCGAACCACTGACGGTAAAATAAAGCCCCGAACTTGCCAGTCGCGCCGGGCCGATTTCGCTCACGCATCACTGTTACTACTGGATCCAGTGAAGAAATCCATTGAACTCGCTTCAGAATTAATAACATCAACACCACGAGATCCAGCGAGAAACACTCCGATTCTGCACAGAGTTCTGTTATAAACCATATCAGATCAAACAGCGCTTACGTGGAAAAGAGGAGAAACACTTATTATTATTCACCATAGGTTTAGGCTAATGTAGTAACTTAACTCTATGATAATGTGGAAGAAAGTCAAATGCTTACGTAGCCTACACATCTTTTCCCAGTACTTCAAAACTATGATATCATAATAATATAAATAATGCTAGTTTACGTGACGTTACAAACGCGCCTCACGGAATAGAGCAAGGCTAGCATTTGTCCTTAGAAAAGTTACATTTTTGGAATAAGTTTTGAAATAAGCGATGGTTTCGCATGATAAGACCCTTATTCATCGTCTGGTGTCGTTTAAAGACATTTGAAGCTGCACTGAAACTGTTATTAACTGTCTTTTGGACCTTGGACCGTCTGGTTCCCATTGAAGTCCATTATATGGAGAAAATCCTGGAATGTTTTCATCAAAAACCTTCATTTCTTTTCGACTGAGGAAAGAAAGACATGGACATCTTGGATGACATGGGGGTGAGTTAATTACCAGCAAAAGTTTTTCCAAAAGTGAACTAATCCTTTAACAAATAGAAAAGGTGATCTGATGCTGTTGATTGTATTTTAATTTAATAAAATCATTGTTCCACAATTGTTAGATCTGAATTTGTCACTAGTTGTCTTCAATTATTCACTTTATTAACTCATTCATTTTAACACTGTTTCAGTGTTCATTTAACACTCTGCTGAGAGTTTATATAATTCACGTACTCAGTGGATGATTTTGCTGTGTAGTTCGATCTCCTGTCTGAAAAACTGATCATTAGTAAATCCAGGTGATTGGAACAAAATACTGAGGATGACTTTTACTTTCTGAAGCTGGACTTTCCTCATCTGAACAGTGCAACAGACCATAAAAACAATGAGTCACCACCCATACTGGACAAACCCGATACTATCATGAAGAGTTTCATTTCTAAAGAAAAGCTTTCATAGACATGGCAGTAGAGACACCAAGAGACTTTCAAACCAGCAGATGATCTCCGTCTTCAGGAGGCAGCCAGAGCGATATCGTACTGCTCCAGCATAAACCTCATAAAAATGGCAACCACAGTAAGTAAACAATTCTTAGAAACTAACATCACAATTAAGACAGATACGATCACAATATCATAGTGAGAACCAACTGTAAAACATAACATTTTTAAATTATTGTATGCATTGGCTTTTAACTATTATTATTAACTTAGCTATTATAATTTACAGCACAGTGATATTAATTTCTTAAACTGTTATTGTTAGTGTAATGCTTAAAGTTTTAGGTTACACTTTATTTTAAGGTGTTAATGTTAGTCTAATTATATATTTAAGTGCTAACTACAAACAGCAAAATCCCCCGTGATAAATTAAAGCAATGTTTACACACAGGGTTCGAATTACAAAGTGGCTTTCGGGGGATTTTTCCGATCCTCCCTGACTGACTTTATTGCTTTGGGTGCATGTTCGGCATTTAAAACAATAGTGTGATGCAGCAAAACAGGTTCGTTGTGTGTGGGTGATGGATCGAAGGAGACACAGGGTCGGCGAATGCTGGAACTCTAACTAAACATGGAACATTAACTAAAAATATCAAAAAGGCAACAGAAATAGATGATAATTAATAGGCTACTCTTTCCACTGGACACAGCTTTCTGGATACAGACGTAGTAATCCTCTTCCCGGTGAACACAGCTTCACTGGATACAGTTTATAGACCCACTCTTTCCGCTGGATACAGCTTTCAGAAGTCACTTTCTCTCAGGATACGTGCACGAGCTCCCAGTCTCTCTCTCACACACTAATGTCAGCACGGCCCGCTTATATGCGGTCTCCTCACGCCAAGATTGAAATTTTACTGAAATCACAGTTTGTCATTTGAACTTGACTCACTTGTTCACCGCTCGTCCCCTCCCCGCTCGCCCGCTACAGACTTCGCTGAACCTTTGCTGCATTTATTAGTGGAGACAGATGTTCGGAAATTGAATTGAGCAAATAAACACTGACACATTTTTAATATCATCATTTATTTCAGGAACCTTAATGTACAGAAAATCAAAATATATGTGACACAAAAAATGGACAGTGTTTTAGAGCTCCCCCTAAATGTCTCAAAGTAGGCTTTCAGGGGAGCCCAGGTCCCCTTAGCTCCCCCGTAATTCGAACACTGTTTACACAGAAACGATCTGAAGAAAAAATTCAAAAGTGGCGTTGCAATATCACTTTTTATTCTGCGTTTAGACAAGCGTTATGGGTGGGAAATCCGTGTGCATATGGTGACGCAAAAGTGTGTTAAATGCAATGTAGTATGCACTCCAGGCAGCTAGGTGGCAATGTGGAGCACTGCCACACAACAACACCAAGTCCGTGCCCCTGCGTACAACCTTCACTATCTAGCAGACTTTTGCGTTTTTACCCTTTAGATGGGAACGCAACGTAGCCTGGCTGCGCCCTCCTACGCACTTCCCCTCAATTTCATTTCCCTTCAGTACTGCGTCTGGGACTGCTGTGTATCCTTAGGTTTCCAGAAATACATTTTTTGTAGGACCAATCAGCGAATAGAGGGAGTGGCTGAGAAAGATGACGTTGATGTAAGCGCGTCAGTTTGAGTTCAGTAATGGCAGCGGAGAAAGACGTGAGAAAAGCTATTCGGTCTGTTGTTGGAAAAGGAACTGCCGAATATACAGAATTTAAAGCCGGATTGTTATCGTCTAACCTCTTGTTGCACAACTGAGGACCAAGTGAAGGAGGCAGAAAGTTTGGAAGTTTGTGCTGGGCAGTTCGTGCACGATGACGGACGGACGGTTTAGCCTGGTGTTGGCGGTGTCCGGAAGCCCCGAGTCCTGCTGCTAAACTATTGTTGAAGATCCGCTCAGGAGTCATGTGTCAGTCGCTCATATTCCCAACTGTATATTTACTGATTCTTCTGATGAATAGAACATTTTGAGCCCCTTTGTGCACTCGTGCAGGAGGCTGGTGTGTCAGTTTTACATGTTGGAAATCATACAAATTGGTTGTGATTTTTTTAAAATAATTGTCATAAATAAAAATGTGATAACCCATACTTTGAAGATATTTGATTTTCAGGTTTAGATGGCAATGGTTAATTTGTTTTAATAAAAAAAAAAACCCTAAATGCCACATAAAAATGGACAAAACACATACTTTGAAGACCATAATTAAGGTAATTACGAAACAATAAGACGTAATATGAAAAATTGTAGTTTATTACACATCTGCAGATAGAGACAGACTGATCATTCACTGTAGCAGCTAACATTACAGCATTTGCGGCAGATCAGAAACGACCACAGCTGCGTATTTGTAATGATTAGACACAGCTTCCACCATTGAATGAATATATCACTGTCCTTCGTGTCAAATATACATTTCGAATTAATAATTGTTCCTAGATTAACAAAACCTGCAGCTCTCGTTGACTGAAATCCTATTGTAAATATAATCCTCTGATCATTCGGACTTGTTGTTTCCAGCCGTTTCGGCGCGTGACATACGTCACTCACGACACCCCGTTAGCGATTGGCTATGGCAGATCGTGAGTGACTTTGGGCAGATCCAATAGATTTGAAGTTTAATAGTGAACCCGCCTACAAGGAAGGAAACGTTTCTCAATGGAGCGGTTCCAGACTCTATGTGCAAATGAAATGTACTAGCGTCTGGTTAAACCAGGCTAAACGCGACGGTGATATTATCGATAAATGTTCTCTTGTAAACAGGGCCCAAAGCTGCTCAGTGTGCATATGTGTCCACACCACAGACTGTTAAAGTAACTCTGAAGCAGTGTTGAAGTTACTGAGATAATTAAGTTTGGCTAAGCCACGCCCTAGAATGTAGATTGACCAATCACAGCCCAGCCAAGAACGAGCTCCCACAGAGGTCGGACACTTTTTCACAGCGCTCCATTGACTTTCAACACAGGCGTCTCATATTTTTGGTCATTTGCATTTGCATTTGCATCGGGCATTTGCAACACAGATACGCGTTTCCCAGAGAGGTTGGAGGGGGGTGTCCGTTTTTTCCCTTCCCAAAACAGAAGTAAAATCCTGACAGTGACAAGTGTCGTGTTTGGATTAAACTGTGTGGACGTTCTCAGTCAGCTAAACCCCTCAAAGATCAACAAGCACATCCTTTTTTACTTCTAACCTTACTGTGAGTGTGAAGTTATATTAGTTAGACCGTTTTATAATGTTTTAGGTTATGATTTCGGTTCTCACACCGGTTGTTGATACGCTAGCACACGCTGCTAATAAATAGAATGTTATACAGTACTCGTGTAGTCCGTTTGCTTTGTAATAACGATTATAGAAGTGAATAGAGACCTACCCAGCTCTGCATGAACAGTGTTGCTCCCTGATATTGTTAGTCCCAGCCTCCGTCTCCATTAGTAGGAAATACGGTGATTATTTTTTGATTGTGACCAGCAACGTTAACGTTATGCTTTTGCCTCTATTTTGGATTCCTTGTTGTTTCTTGCGTTTGTATGTCTTGAATATAGCCTTCGAACGCATATTGCAGCCTTCTTTCGGACACTTTATTTGCTGCTTTATAAAAGTTTGATAACATTTCAGCAGGAAGAGCTGTTACAGCATAAGCCATGCAGAGCCCAGATGAAGATTGACGGATGTAGCAACAGTAACTAAGGGGGGCGGGGCTAAGCCAAAGGTGAATTGACCATTATTGAAGACACATGATGATAATAAGTATAATCACTGAAGGAAAGAAGTGAACAACTTAAATAATTTAACAACTACTTAACAAGCAGCATTACCAGCTTCACTTATTACTAACCAGACTCACTTTATTTATATATATTTATTTATATAATCTATGGTTGGCAGTAGGGCTGGGCGATATATATATATCGCATGACTAGTGTTGCCACGATACCAAAACTATTGTTTCAATACCGATACAACAGTCAAGAATTGCGATTTCGACACTTTTTCGATACTTTTCCTGAAAAGGAAAGTATTTCTTACAGGGCGTTTCACATGCACCTCCTTTGCGTAGGTCTGTGCTCTTTAATGCTGTAATAACCTAATATAAATAAATCAATGACAAGCATACACATGCTCTTATTATAATCATATAGCCTATAGATAATTTTAGCTGATTTTTTGTATGCTTTATTTTAGCAGTTTCCAAATTATTTATGCTATGAAAGTTGAGGGGGAAAGTTTTACACAATGAATAAATAAATTAAACATCTCCAGTTAACTAGTAGAGAATTCATGTAGTTCGGTAAGCGGAGCGCTCTTTTCGCTGCTATGAATACAGTTTCTTTTGCAGACTCACTGATAGTGGTTTACCCATTTCTAGCACATACCACCACATGGCATATTAATAATGCCCTATTACCTAAACATGTGTGATTGCTGATGTATGCTCATGAATAGGCCAACCAATGTGTATTTTTTATAAATAAAGATAAATAATATTTTGAACATCCAATGAATTGACAGATGCACTTCCACTTCCGACTTACTTTAGCTATTTAAAGGGGGGGGGGGGTACTGCTTTTTTTTTTCTTTGCATGATTGTGTTTATGGGGTGCAATATAACTTGTATTCATCGTTTTTCTTTTTTTAAAAAGTCTTATTTTTCATAAATTTCAGCTTTATTGTCAGCCGCGCTCTCCTCTGTCATTTGAACGAGCGGTTCACTTCCTGATTATATGAAAACACTCCCTCAGAAACAGGCAGTGGGTTCAGATTGGTTAGTTTGGGCCGGTGTGTTGTGATTGGCTAAACTGTCGCTCAAGTTGTCCGGAAGATTCACGCCCATTACCTTTACGGGCGAAACGGGCCTGCGCTCCGGTCCTATCATGTAAATAATGGTGTCGAACTGCAGTATCAGTTTAAGGCAGAATCAGACCGAGAAAGCCGCGATGAAGAGATTTAAGCAGAACCTCACCACACACTCTTACTAAACGTTTCTGAATGATAATTTGCTACATTTTTTAACTTTATACGCGTTTGTTTAACACAATAGCATCTGACTGGCAACAATAGCAACTGACTGGCTACTAATTTTATACTCAAACAGCGTTGGCATTA